TGCATCTTTAATTCTATAGTTTAAGGTTGCAACCTTATATAAATTTTTTTCTTAGGTAATTAATTAATAGTAAAGTAGAAATTCTTGATAAAAATAAAAATATTTATCAACTATAATAAAGAATGATATCATCTACATGAGCTGTAATATCATCTACATACAACGTTAATTAGTTTTTGAACTATTGATAGAATATCACTAATTTTCTATAAAAATATTTATTCTACCATTCTTAATTTAAAAATTCTCTTGTTTGAAAAATTTTATATTGCAAATGCTCAAAAAAATTTTGTATTGCAAATGTCAAAAAAGAATTCTTAATCGACAACAGATCGACTTAAGCTCAAATGCTGGCATACCATACTTTCCAAATTATTGCCCTTTTGGTTTAAATAGCTTATACTATACGCCTTATTTGTAAGTCTCGGTTGTCAACAAACATGGCGAATAATCCTTGGGATTGTATGCCATAAGATTTTGGAAAAGTATATAATGAGTCAATTTATTTTTGGTACAAGGTGGTCATAATTAATCTTGGTCATGGGATGTGAAATTGGGTAACTGCATTTATTTCATTGACCAAGCTCTAAGTTAAAAAGGACTTTTCTCAAACTTTGTGACATACTCAAATTATTAAATTTCACATCGGATGGTTGTAAGTAATTGTGACTTCCTTATATCAAAGAAAAATGATCTCATTGTCAACAATCCCTTATCTTTTGATACAAGGTTCAATCATTCCTAACTATAAGACGCGTGAAATTTGACATATTAGGTTGTCACAAACTGCAACTTTTTTTTTTGACTTGATTTTGAGAATGGTTAATCACCATCCCTAGTTGATTTCATATCTAACGGCCAAGATGATTGTCTCCTTGTATAGATGGTAAATGGTCTTATTCTATACTTTTCTGTAAATTGTTCCTCTTTGACTATATATTATTGACAGAGAATAAGTAAGGTGTGACTTTCAAGATTTGGAAATTGTTTCATGCGGATTGGACCACATTTCTACAATATGCGGTCTAAAGGTATAAACCATCCATCTTAAAGATGGATGCAAATAGGTGATCCATCTAAAAATAAGTGTAACTAACGGTCCAAACATTTTCTTTATATAATTATTATTTTTAGTTTTCAAATTTTTTTTTCATATTCATGATCTCCATGTTAAATATTATATATTCTCTAAAAATTTAGATCAAATTATATTTAAAAATATATTTATCGTCAAGCCCTTATTTCTACAATATGTAGGCTAGACGCATAGAAACCGTGTCCCCACTTTTTTCTCCCCTATTTTCTTACTATCTTCTGGCGCAGAGAAACCGTCATCCTTCCCCTGTCAAAAATGTGGACGGTGGAGATCTAAATGCTACATACAATCCGTGTGCCACATGTTATTTGCAATGTAGTACATGCATATGCTATATGATCCCTATAGACTATACAACGCACACTATAGTACTTGCTTATTTCCAAACAGCGTGCAAACACTGCAATCAACCATCTGATATTGATGGAGGACAGTTGGAGAGCCATTAAGTAAGGAAAGATGAGGGAGAGTTGGAGAGCCATTAAATAAGGAAAATTATGCAAAGAGAATATTTATTTTTAGTACAAGGAGGTCCCAGCCATTCGTGTCCATCAAATTCCTAATGTCCATCAAATTTCTAATCAAATCGTTATAAGTGTATCTGTAACTAAACTCAAAACCCAAAATTTTTTTTTTTGAACTTCGTGACACATCTCAAACTATCCATTTAGACATTTAATGACTAGGATTAATTATAACCTCTTCGTACTAAAGATAAATTGTCTCATAATATACAATACCTTAAATAAAACTCTCTCCAACTCAACATTTAAATGATACAGAGAACTATTTGTAACCAAATAGGACATAAAAATAGACCTGAATGTATTGATTAAGATCAATTGCCTTATACAAATTGTTTAGAATCACCCCTACCAATCATTCATCAAATTAGAAGATAGGGAATGTACCATTGACCACGCCAAAATCTGCTACATACGTTTGGACTTTGTTTGAAGAAATGGTGCAACTTAATTATTTGATTTTGACAACTTGGGGCGTTTGTTACCTTTGTGTACAAAATGTAAGGGTCTCATTGTATAAAATCCCCAAATATATTTGTTGGCATGCATTATATGACCCATATGATCATCAAAACTCCTGGACCATGATGTTATTGATGTCTTATTTCCACTCATCAAAATAGTGATGGAAAGGGTGGCTTTATACAACTCCCAATGAGTAGGACATCTGTTCCTGCTTTATCTCCATCGGTGTAGGAAAAATCGGGCAGTTCAAATTCTGACAGCCCAATTAGATCGGAACTGGCTAGTTCAGCCATTTTTGGTAAAGTGGTCAGGTATTTTAAAAAAAAATCATAGAAGATTATATAAAATCCCAAAAAATATGAGATTTTGTTTGTAATGCATTTTTGGATGTTTTTATCATTTTGAAAAAGATTAGAAATTGTTTTGTCCATTAATATTTATTTTTATATTTTCCCATCATTTTTTGGAAAATTTAAAAAATACCAATGGGCATAATACGATTATTTAAAATTCATATTTTCATTCATTTTCAACTTCATTTGGATGTGCTTTGTTTAATCATGCTTTAAATGTACTTTTCATATTTTATTAGATTTTTTTTATTTTTTATTTTTTAATACATTTTTGACTGCCTGGGGCTTACCTAGTTAGGCCGATTGAACAGGTCGGTTTACTGGTTAAGCCAGTTATACCGCTTCCTGACCCATGTACGATTAGCTATTCCAGTTTAATTTTTCTTACACTGATCTCTATCACCATCCAATCCATTAATTGACGGCCATAAAAAGAGTCGTGGTTGTTATCATGATCATATCGATTGTGTTTTATTTTGGGTTGCATGGTGTTCTTCACACAATACCCGAAGCCACTGTCAATCTCTGTACAAAGTTCAAATTTTTTTATTAATATTTGAATGTAGCCAATGGTAAACCAATAAAGATTTTGCGAGGTTAGAGGTCCCATGTTGCATGGAACAGTTAAGGGAGCTTTGCGAGTAATGATAAATGATCTTTATATTTATGTCTTTTTGGTGTAGTTAGCCTAGTATTTCACTATTTTTCTTTTATTTAGCTGAGAAAATCAATGGTTGAGCTGGAGATTATGATGGCATCTTGAATATATTTTATTAATGCGATAATCTACAATTCACAACTCTTAAAATTACTAGGAGTAACTATGTGATTTCTTTTTTTAAAAAAAGTTATTTTTTGTGATATCATATTCATCAAATAAGGGTGTTAATATAAATATTACTAAAAAATAGTGAGTACTTTTGTCATCTTTATAAATAAGGGCAAGCTTTTTATGCTTCTCCAGCAACATAGAAGTTCTATCCTCCCTCTTATCCAACTGTCCATTATGAATGGAGGGCTAAGATTGCCCCAATCACAATGTCACGTCTCTACACTATTTTATTTTTAATTTTTATTTTTTATAAACTATTCTGATACCAAATTTTAGATGTCCATTCTTCTATTAAACTCGCACAAGAGAAAAATATAAAAAATATATTTTCAATAAAATAAAATGATCAAAATACTTTTGAAAGTTTCAAGGGGTATTTTGATCATTATATTTTATCGAAAAATTATTTTTAATATTTTTTTTAGGTGCGCCCCAATGAGAAGATGACACGTACCAAATTTTATATGTATACAATTTGTATAAAAAATAACTAAAAATAAAATACTTTGAGAAGTTGGATCTAAGATCAAACGATGAGTGGCTCTGTTGATCAAAATTGCACGGTTGATCAGTAGGGGAGGATAGAACTTCTATGCTATAGGGAAAGCATAAAAACCTTTTCCCATACAAAATAAAATTAAAATATTTACTAAATGATAAGAGTACTCTACAAATAAAGTCTATCCAAAGGTCTGCTTGACGAATGGGTGGATTTAGGCGAATCAAGTGGGTGGAAATGATACAAGGCCCTTATGTCAACAGCTTTCAGTAAGGTAACTAAGGGGTAAGGGTTGACCTAAGACACTAACTTTCAAAAAGCTGCAGTTTGTATTGAGACGAGGCTCTAAACAATCGAAATAAAACCCATCTTCAAATAATATCGAAAAACGTGGTTTCAATACTAAAAATTATTGTGATAGTCTGACGTGGGCTCTAATGTGATTGTTTAGGGCCCAGGCTCTATATAAACTTCTTTGTTCAAAATGCTATTGTATTTTTTAAGAACTTTCAAATTTATCATTACTTAATAATTAATTAGGTTACATAATAAAATAATTTTTTTTTTGATAAATAGCCCCATCACAACTCATTTATAAAATAAAAAAGGGGTTATAAACTCTAAACAAATCCTTGGTTTATTAATGGAAAATGGGGGCTTGCTTTATATATCAATGGGCACTGCTGCAGAAGCTGAGGAATCAGACAGACCCTAAATAGTAAGGAATCTTGATGTATAGATGAATGAATGGGCATCATGCTTTTAGTGAGAGCGAGAATGGAGGGTAAAGGTGATGAGAGAGAGAGAGAGAGAGAGAGAGAGAGAGAGAGATTCCGTTAGAAACGTAACGTGTGTTTCAGTGACGAGAGGGAGTCTTGTGAGCAACGTGAACTGTGTGTGTGTGAGAGAGAGAGAGAGAGAGAGAGAGAGTAGGTAGGTTAGGTACAGTGGTACGTACTTAACGTACTTCGTAGGAGTGTTGGTTAGGTTTAGTAAG